AAATCAGGAACAATTCAAGACAAACTCAATAGTTTCCTATTCAACTATCGGAGGACACCACAAACAACAACAGGAATAGCACCGTCTGAACTACTAATGAAAAGACGGTTACAGTCAAGATTAAATCTCGTATTTCCCAACATTGAGGAAAAAGTGGTTGAAAAACAATTCAAACAGAAAAAGTACCACGATGAAACAGCTAAACACAGGACAATCAAAGTAGGAGAACTTGTATTCGCGAGGAATTTCGTTGTAAACTCCAAACTGAAATGGATTAAAGGAACCGTGGTAAATCAGACAGGACCGTTGTCATTCAAAATAGAACTTTCCGATGGACGGATAATACGTAGGCATGTTGATCATCTCAGAATTAGAAGTTCCGAATGTCGAGATACTGACACAGGTGACAACATAGAGACAAGTGTCACAGACAAAAGTATACATGAGCCTGAGATTACTATACCACCGTTATCTACAGAGCAACAAGACCAAGGTATGCCAAATCCGACAATAAACGAAGATTCAGAGCCTGGCAAAACAGCTGATCCGATTACGCCTCGATATCCGACAAGAGCCAGAAAACAACCAGCATACTTAAAGGACTATGTGCATAAATAAATGGTTGGTGTGTAAAACGGCATAATAATCCGTTCAATCATTAACGAAGTATTTTAGTGCTTCAATTCATTAGGATGATGGAGAAGATTTGCGAACATTTTTCTAGTTCTTTTTAATTGCATAATTTCTCAAGAACGGACTACTTCAGTTTTCTAAAAAACATTAATTAAGTGATCTGACATTTTTCATTTGTTTTTACAATGTAAAGAACAGTTTTATTTACATTCAAGAAAGACATTAATTTAACCGTGAAATTGTTTTTAATTGATTAAGAATCTAAGGGTGGAGATGTGTAGTAAAGTCATTATCTTTAATCTGTTTAAGTAATTATCTATGACAGATCACAGACACATTAATTCTCAGTTCTCAGATCAATGTTTACATTATCCATGTTATCAGTGTTAGATATTTTCTATATACATCTGGTTAAAGTTAAATAGTTAATAGGAAGCTTTCTCACGGTTTTGATTCATTCTGCATTCTAACTGTACTACTATCAACATGTTATATTTCAATAGATTATCAGTACTATAAATGTGTTTCATTTTATATGTGTAAATCCAAAGTTACTACACAACGCAATCTTTTTGTTTCCGGAATGACATAAAGAGTTGGCCTTTTCCAATTGATTTCTTCGCGTACGGATCTGCACTGTCTCATTGAAACATGTCATTAAGTTGAAGGATAGGATGACTTTCGTTTTTTCTCATCCAGTAAATCCAAAAAATATTTGTTGAGTAGTAAAAAAGGGGGCACCCGGGTTCGAACCGGGGACCTCTCGATCTGCAGTCGAATGCTCTACCACTGAGCTATACCCCCAGATGAAAAACTTTTACCAATTTTGGGTTCTTATAGGTGATAACCTCAATTGTTACAACCAATGCAAGTTGAGAGTTAAGATTGTTTGTCAAATAGATGTTTCAAGTCAGTCATTTATATCAGACAATTTCATTGATCTAATTGGAAAAGGTGACGTGGACATATTGATAAGACTTCGATTGTATAATGACAAACTTCTCCACCCTCAATGTGGTGGTGCGAACTGGGTCGTATTAAAAGAAATTGAAATCCCAATATTGCAGACGATTCCATACACTTGGTTGAATTTTGATGTTTTGTAAGATTTCTTTTTTCACTTGGAGCAAAAAGGGCCTAGCTTTATGAGTTGAAATTTCACAAATCTGAAGCAAGAGCCTCCATAGCTCAGTGGTTAGAGCACTGGTCTTGTAAACCAGGGGTCGTGAGTTCGATCCTCACTGGGGGCTTAGGAGATAATATTCACAACTCCCCAAGTTTTTGCTGCCGTTGTATGGGTTCTCGTTCATTTTCCTCAAGATTTTAAATATGAGAAGTGCAAACTTCATGTAACAGTATGATGCCAAGTTTTAACATGCAAAATCGGGTAGTTGAGCGAAGTACATTTACCGAGAAGACGGCAGGTTATCAGGCGTGACATGTTGAATACTCAGTCTGTATTGTTAAATATTTTCCAACGCAATCTTTTTGTTTCCGGAATGACATAAAGAGTTGGCCTTTTCCAATTGATTTCTTCGCGTACGGATCTGCACTGTCTCATTGAAACATGTCATTAAGTTGAAGGATAGGATGACTTTCGTTTTTTCTCATCCAGTAAATCCAAAAAATATTTGTTGAGTAGTAAAAAAGGGGGCACCCGGGTTCGAACCGGGGACCTCTCGATCTGCAGTCGAATGCTCTACCACTGAGCTATACCCCCAGATGAAAAACTTTTACCAATTTTGGGTTCTTATAGGTGATAACCTCAATTGTTACAACCAATGCAAGTTGAGAGTTAAGATTGTTTGTCAAATAGATGTTTCAAGTCAGTCATTTATATCAGACAATTTCATTGATCTAATTGGAAAAGGTGACGTGGACATATTGATAAGACTTCGATTGTATAATGACAAACTTCTCCACCCTCAATGTGGTGGTGCGAACTGGGTCGTATTAAAAGAAATTGAAATCCCAATATTGCAGATGATTCCATACACTTGGTTGAATTTTGATGTTTTGTAAGATTTCTTTTTTCACTTGGAGCAAAAAGGGCCTAGCTTTATGAGTTGAAATTTCACAAATCTGAAGCAAGAGCCTCCATAGCTCAGTGGTTAGAGCACTGGTCTTGTAAACCAGGGGTCGTGAGTTCGATCCTCACTGGGGGCTTAGGAGATAATATTCACAACTCCCCAAGTTTTTGCTGCCGTTGTATGGGTTCTCGTTCATTTTCCTCAAGATTTTAAATATGAGAAGTGCAAACTTCATGTATTAGTATGATGCCAAGTTTTAACATGCAAAATCGGGTAGTTTTTTCTCACCCAATAAATCAAAAAAATATTTGTTGAGTAGTAAAAAAGGAAGCACGCGGGTTCGAACCGGGGACCTCTCGATCTGCAGTCGAATGATAAAAAAACTTGTCAATTTTGAGTTCTTATAGGTGATAATTTTAATCGTTTACAATCAATGCAAGTTGAGAGTTAAGATTGTTTGTAAAAAAGGTGTTTGAAGTCTGTCATTTAGCTGTATTTGCCAAAACCGTTCAGAAATGTGTGTCCTCAATGCTCTTAAACTTCGCATTTTATTTTGCCTTCTAAGTTTTTTTGGTTCGAGCGTAACTGATGAGTCTTTTTAGACGAAACTCGCGTCTTGCGTACAAGATTTTAAGTCGGTATCTATGATGAGTTTATTTACAACCACTGGGTCGATGCCACTGCTGGTGGAGGTTTTCTCCCTTTAGTCAGCACTTCTGTGTTGACATGAATTATCATTGATATGATCAAATTTTATAAACTAACTGTAAATTTAACTTAAATTTTTCGAAATACTAAGGATTTTCTAACATAGGAATAGATAACCCTTGCTGTATTTGGTAAAACCTTTCAGAAGTTTTTGTCCTCAATACTCTTCAACCTCTTACTTTATTTGGTCTTTTAACATTTTTGGTTCGAGCGTCATTGATGAGTCTTTTGTAGACTGGTGAACAAAATGTTCAGACTTGAGTTTATTTACATCAGACAATTTCATTATTCTTATTGGAAAAGGTGACGTCGATATATTGATAAGACTTCGATTGTGTAATGGCACACTTCTCTGCACTTAATTTGGTGGTGCGAACTGGGTCGTATTATACAAAATTGAAATCTTCATATTGCAGACGATTCCATACACTTGGTTGAATCTTGATGTTTTGTGTGATCTCCTTTTTTCACTTTTTTACAGTTTTGAGTTCTCATTGGTAATAATCTTAATTGTTTACAACTAATGTAAGTTGAGAGTGAAGATTGTTTTTAAAAAGATGTTTAAAGTCTACTACTGATATATGTACGCAAAGTAGTGTATCATATACTTCAAAGCGGCTGTGATCTGCTATGGATATCAGTCACATAACTCACATGTATGTCCTACGTATAATATCGAGAAATAAAGAGTAGAAATTTCTCTATATATTTGTATTTACATCTTCATTGTGAATTAAAAAAAAACACCACTTTTTTTAATTATTTGTAACTTTGTAACATCAGCCATGTTGTTTGGTTGGCCGGAACACTCGAAAACTTGTTTCAAAAGAGAGGCGAAAGTTACCAGAGGGACATTCATTTGGTGGTGCGAACTGGGTCGTTTGTTCATCAAATACATTTTTAATTTAAAGAAAAGGTGATGTTAATGCACCTTTATGACTCTAATGCACCTTTATGATTTTAATGCAACTTTATAATCGAATCCATTGTATTTCATAACTCATTTAGAGATTTTTAAAGATACAACTAATGTAAGTAAATATTTAATAGATAAAAGTCAGTTTAGATACATAAGAAATAAGCATCTAATCCCCTATAAATCTTTTATAAAAAATCAATTATTCTTTTTTATAGTGTTTTTAAAATACCTTTTTGGTCATTTCTTTTACTGTATAGACTGTAAACTGTTCAAACTAGACACATATGATTGGGGGCCAAATGGTTAAGTGTTTTACACATTTAAAAAAAATCAATGAATAGACCAAGGGACTAACAAGACGACACTGCCCTGGAAGGTCAGGTGAGTACATGTATCTTTAAAAAACTCTAAATGAGCTATGAAATACAATGGATCGATTATAAAGTTGCATTAAAATCATAATGGTGCATTAGAATCATAAAGGTGCATTAAATCATCTTTTCTTTAATTAAAAATTATTTAATGAACACATGTGCTCTTAATAGTGCTTTACTACTTCTGTAGTCATTTAAACTGTATGTATGTCAAAAATGTAGAAAAAGCTATAGGGTAAGTAGTTTTTTTTATGTTGTTGCATCTATCCCAACAGGTGTGCGCAATTAGCCAAAAATAAAACGAGATAGATTCAATACAAAACAATGTTACTTTATTCAAGCCAGTTACATAAGATGGTACATTAGACAGAGATGTACAATAAAACTGTACTTTAAAATCTAAATGTACAGTAAGTACATTCGGAAATAGATTATAACAAATACTTAATGATAACAGCATGCTAACTTTATGAATTGCGCCTTTTCTTATGTAAACCAAACAAGCATTCCCATTTTGCAGAGAATAATGCATTGTTTTTTTATTACAGAGAAATAGATCATGCATCTCATGTAAAGACGAGTTTTCAGTAAATTCGAATTAAATATCCGTCTAATATTTTGAACTAAATCACTTGCATATTACCTTTTAATGCCAAATAGTTTTTGTTAAATTAGTGTTTCAAACATCGGGTTTTTGAGTGTGCAATAAAATAACTTAATATGGCGAAGGCATACACCTCATTCTTTCATATGCCTCCTTTTCTAATCTTTCTCTGTGTTCAGGATGTGCTATTTTGATTAATTCAAATGCTCGTTGTCGCAAGTTCTTACCAAACAAATAGGCTATACCATATTCCGTCACAATATAATGGACATGCGCTCTTGTTGTAACAACACCACTACCTTGAATGGAATACAAAATTGTAAATACTTAATAGATGAAAGTCATTTTAGATACATAAGAAATAAGCATCTTATCCCCTATAAATTTTTTATAAAAAATCAATTATTCTTTTTTATAGTGTTTTTAAAATACCTTTTTGGTCATTTCTTTGACTGTACAGACTTGTAAATTATAAACAAGTCTAAATTGAAAACAACGTTCAAACCTATGATTGCGTTTGATAAGAACCGCAATTCTTAGACGTGTGCATGCAAAACAAATTTCTTTGTAGAGGGGTCTAAATACAGCACAAACAACATTTTCCAAAAGACCAAAAAAAGTGAAAAAGTATATTTTAACAAAACGCTTTTGACTAGCAGGTCGAACAACGGATGTTCTTAAACCCTACTGACTGCCATTGGCGACTGCCAAATAAACGATTCACCAGATGTAACAAAATGGATCTTAACTATTAATTTAATACCAAACAGAAAACAATAAACTTGCGGAAAGGATGGTATACCGCAAGCAAAAGGTGCAAAAATTAGTACACCATATCCGGATTTCGACAATTAATGTCTCTTCGGTGATGTTAGGAATGGAAACTGTATTTGGAAGGCCATATAATTTACCTCAATTTAGGATAGACTCTTGAATTTTGAAGAGTCGAAATAGGATGAACGGATCATATAAACCCGAAGGCAAATATAATACAAGCCCAAACAAAATAAAATATAAACAAGTCTAAATTGAAAACAACGTTCAAACCTATGATTGCGTTGGATAAGAACCGCAATTCTTATATGTGTGCATGCAAAACAAATTTCTTGGTAGAGGGGTCTAAATACAGCACAAACAACATTTTCCAAAAGACCAAAAAAAGTGAAAAAGTATATTTTAACAAAACGCATTTGACTAGCAGGTCGAACAACGGGTGTTCTTAAACCCTACTGACTGCCATTGGCGATTGCCAAATAAACGATTCACCAGATGTAACAAAATGGATCTTAACTATTAATTTAATACCAAACAGAAAACAATAAACTTGCGGAAAGGATGATATACCGCAAGCAAAAGGTGCAAAAATTAGTACACCATATCCGGATTTCGACAATTAATGTCTCTTCAGTGATTTGTAAATTATATATGGTATTATACTGTTACTGATTACAGTCCCCCCTCCACACACACACTTTTTGAATAAAAAATATTAATGATCATAAATCTATCAAGACATTAATCATGATAGTGGATATTGTCTTCAAATGTAGATAGATGTCTCTAATATACGCCTAGCTCTAAATTCTTCCCAAATTTTTTCGTACGTGTATATGAGTAATGGAGAAATATACGTGAATCATAGACAACAGAAGTTTTAAGACCAGTTAACCCATTTTAAAGCGGTGGGTAAATTCAAGTTGGAATCTAATAATTTGTTTTCAAGTTGACATGTGTAATGTAAAAATATTTTAATCCGTTATAATTATGATAAAAACGGTCATAATAACATAAGAGTGTCATAACTATATAGGTAAATATAACACAACACACACTTTGCTTATTTGGTTTCCTTAAAATACTATCCAATTATTTTTAACACTGAATCAGAAAAACATCATTATAAACGGATATTTCCTACATATTTAGCCTAATGCACATTATATTTATTAAAGTTTTATATGTTTATAATGCATGCTTATAAGTTGTGATACCTTGAAGTTTAACTCCTGCCTCTGAACATCACCCCTGTAATCGTTAGTGTTGGACCTGTCAGTGCTCTCCATGATTCCGGAGAAAAGGAGGTTCTGGATCTGCCCCAGTTAATGCAAAAAGGACAATTTCAGAACACCTGCCGCGCCAAAGGTTATTGGTTACATATTTTCACTACCACTGCAATTGGTCTATGACGATGCTGGTCCTCGAAGGCAAAGCTACCCTATATTGACTGCCTCGGTGAAAGCATGATTCCAGTTTATAGGCAATGTTATTTAAAAAAGGGGGGTAACATCCTTGTGGAAAGTTTTGCTCAGTCTTGATTACCTGATAATGCTTATACGGAAACGGGCTTCGCTTGGACAGAATTATGAATATTACTTTTAAAAAAAAAATTATGTTTGAAGGACTTTTTTTTATCAATCAGACGACGTGAAATAATACGGTAACCAACTGTGTTGCTCTTGTTACTTGAACTTAAATTATGTTCCAATAATAGATAGATAATTCAATGTTCGACAACTATGTTAAGCGCATATACACCCCTGCGCTTGCAATTAAAAATACAAATAATTCAAGTATGTCTTCTTCATACCTTGTCCTACAGTTCGTATTCCTCTTAACTACTCTTTAGGACTGTCATAAACTGACTTTTCCATTCGTTGCGTTGGTTGATAAGTCTAGTTATGTCAGTTATGGACTTCCCCTTATTTGAATTTGCTTTGGAGTTCGGTACTTATGTTATACTGTCTTATAACAGTTCTAATTTCATAGTTACAAAAATATTTACCAGTTTTCAGCATATTAACAATTTTACTCTCTCCTCTCTTGGTGCTAGATGTCATGGCAATAATAGGCTTTCCTCTACCGTCTAAGGATAATGCAGCTCCACTGATAAAATCAATCTGTCCACCAAAACCGGAGTATATCCTTTCTCCTATCGAGTCAGCGCAGACTTGTCCACCTAAGTCCACCTCTATACACGAGTTAATGGCGGTCACTTTAGGGTTCTGACAAATTACTGCCGTACTATTTGTGAAAGAAACATCACACATTTCTGAAATTAATAATTTAAAGTACTTTCATAGTTTGAATTTATAAATATTTGATAACAGTATAGTATATCAATTCTCGTTTTAAAAAAACTTTTCATTATGATATTTTATTTGTAAAACATGATGTGTTCACATTTGGTGATAATTGCCGTTTGTATTGTATTGGAATGGTTGGAGAATGAACTTTGTTGATTTAAATTTTATAGTTTTTTATACGACCGTCAGTGAAGAACGCCTTGTATGTACAGTGAGATTAATATTTCAATGTAAGTTGTATCATATATATTTATAAAGAATTAGTTTATAGAATACTCCATATGTATTTTTGTGAGTTTAAACTCATTCATTATACAAAGCTGAAAGAAACTTGAATATAAACTGTTATAGTGTTCACATGTTTTATGTAGCAACATGGACATGTATAATTCAATTTGAGACAAACAGAGGAAATCATATCGCTGTTTTATAAGACCTCACATACAGATTATCCAATGAATTAAAGAGGCCTTCCATCTTGTTGGACTACAACTCCAACTGATAATTTTAGGATACCCTTCAACTGACCATGAATCGTTTCAGTCTCATTTTAACTAACGGATAATTGCGTAGTTATAATCTCTGACGCAGTGAGATGATATGTAAAAGAAAAGACGCACTATCTTTTGTACACAAGAGCTGAAATTTCCCGTACAATTTTGCGTGCACGTCTTGAACTAGAATAGAATAAAATTTCGGTAGATTTATAATAAAGTTACACACTTTAGATAAAGTTTTAAAACACAATTGCATAATATAAATGTAAGGATGTGGGTATTATTACCAATGCGACAACTTTTAACCATTGGCCAACGAACGAGGATGTAAACATCTATAGGCCACTGCATGTCCTTCAAAAATGAGCAAATCTAATACCGTATAATAACCTATAAAAGCTCTGGCATGACGAAATGTGCAAAAATTTAAATAAAAAACCACGATTGTTTTATGCTTAAACAATAACAAGAAACAAACATGACATGCAGCAACCAACGACAGCAACTAAATAACAAGGTCCTGACTTGGTTCGGACACATAAAGAATGTGGTAGGCTAAAACATGTTTGTGAACAAGCAACACTCTCGCTAACCTGTGACAGTGGTGTTACAGCACAACATACGAAAAACCGTAAAAATCGGTAGGAAATGTCTTTTCAGGCACGTAGCACAAAAGAAACAACTGTCAAACATACAAAAGACACAAAGTACTGATCTAAGATAACGGGCAATTACCGAAAGCTACTCAAACTTATTTCTGTTAAAAGATAAACCATGTTTCCACGACTTAAACAGAATCATTTTGCACAGAAAATAAGTTGGATTTATTCAAAGACAACTATCGCTTGGTAACGAAAGTTGTTACGGTAAAAAGTCTGCTATGAAATGTTACATAAATCATGCCATTAGTTTTCTCGTTTGAATTGTTTTACATTAGTCATTTCAGGACCTTTTATATCTTACTTTGCGGTATAGGATTTGCAAATTGTTGAATGCCGCACGGTGACCTATATTTGTTACCTTCTGCGTCATTTGATCACATGTGGAGAGTTATCCCATTGGCAATTATACCACATCTTCTTATTTTTATACAGCTGTATCCAAAGGTCGAAAGAAAGTAAAGTGATTTGAAAACCGTTCTGCTGTTCCAGCTGAATGCATTTTGCATATTTACAGAAGCTTGGTAAACTTATATTTGTTGTTAAAAGTCAAGTGATAGGATAAATGAAAGAAAAAAAAACAGATACGAAAAAAAAAATCTTTACCAATTCAAAATCAAATGATTGTTATTGTTCAAGTTACGTCGGTTAGCATTATGGTTCCTCTAGATACCGTGATCCGTAAAGATATATTTTTCATTATCTTACCAACAAAAGGATTGTCGTCCATGAACTCGTACAACCGTTTGGTTCCAATAGCAAATGTGCTAATAATATTCCCCGTTTGTACGTTTTTCAGAGCATTTGTTATATTCCCGTTTTCTACTAGGTCTACCACACCATCACTAAACATTTCTGAATGTACTCCTAAATCTTTATGATCCCTTAGTTCCGCTAAAACTGCGTTTGGTATAGAACCAATACCTAAAACATAATAAAAATGTTGGTCTTACAGTGCATTACATAAATATCCGCGTGTCGATCGACACATAGAAGCAATGGAATAACTTACATCTATTGAATAGGAATGTTTCTTAATAGCAAAGGAGATTAAGTTAATATCTATAATAACATACGAAAAGTTTACCATATTTTTCAGTTTTTTATTTGTATGGATTGATTGCGTCTTTTTCATAGATTGTCACATGTAGCTGCGCATGAAGCTTTCCTGCATCTAATTATTTTGTTTTATAAAAGCTCCAATTTAAAAAAAAACGTATACCAAGTACATAGAATAGTGTGCCATCTAAAACCAAACTTCATCAAATCATACAAAATATTATTATTATTATGTCTTTCCCTATTTCATAGGTATGATTTCTTGTTCTGGTTTGACTAGGTTCTTTCTGGTTTTATCAACTCTTCGACGTTTATACAACGTTTTTGAATTCCAAATATTTTGGTCTCGAGCATAACATAAGACACATACAAAAATTGTCAAAATGCGCATCTTGTGCAGTAAAATTGGCACCTTTAATCCTATTACTTCCACTTGGTCGATACCTCTGCTGGTGGACTATTAGTCCGCGAGAGTATCACCAGTCCAGTAGCATGTTCTTCGGTAATGTCGTGAAAATATGGATATTGTTTTATTGAAATGAAATTATCTTAAATTAAGGAATGTTTCTCCCTCATGCATAGTTCTGACTCCAGGTTCTTGTTTAATCTATACTTTTGGTCCATTTTAAATTTATCAGCTTTTCAAAGGTTTATATTAGGTTTTGGACTTGCAAGTATTCTGACTTCGAGCATCACCGAAGAGACATTAATTGTGGAAATGTGCATTAAAGTTGGTACACTTAAAGTTATTCAAGGATATTGCACTAATGTTTGGTGTTTGAAAAGTTTATACCCATTTGTAGCGTAGCGCCATCTTCTACTAGATTATCTGCTATCAGCCTTCCGATCTTTTTCTCCTCTTGAGACGGTTTACTTATGGAAAGTTCTGGAATAAGGAAGTCACAGTCTACAATAGCATCTAAGTGCGACTGGTGGATCATGCCGTCTCCTATTGTTCTCGGTAGGTGTTTATTGGCGACACCTATAAAAAGAAAAAATATGAAAGGCTAATAAAAGTGCAGTGAAGGGAAGTTTAATTAATATTATTTTGTGAACACGGCAATAAGTTGTCCTCTTGTACTCGGAGGAATGAAGCACTGTGGTTGAATTGATGGTATGATATTAACATTTGTGTTTATTTATGAACAGCAGTATGCATATTTACTGTATAAATATTTAAACACATGGACTTTTTTTTAGAATTTGATATAACCATAATATATATGTTTATCTATGTGCAGATGTACAATGATAATCTGGATTAGTTTATTTTTTAACGCAATCACCGCTTTCTTTGTATAGTTACTGACAATTTTAAAGAGAAACGAAAGATGTTTATGAGCTATGTTTTAAGTACCGATGATATACTTGGCATTCTGTATCGCAGCACGGGTACAATCAACACTGGGTCCTAAGGAACAGAATCCATGTTTATCTGGCGGTGTTACTGATATCAAAGCTACGTCAAGCTCAATCTTCTTCAGTCGAAATAACAATGGTATCTCATAGAGAAATATAGGTGTACTGTCAGCTCTACCTTCACTCACTGCAGAACGAGAATTAGCAGCAAGGAAGAGTGAATTCGATCTAAATATTCCTGAAATGTACATATACCCATTAAAACTATTACAATCCCAGTAACCAACTGCAGTGCCATATAAATTATTAATCCTTACCTGTAAATTAGTAAGAACATATAATCTGACTTATTGTAAACACAAGAAACGAACTTGAAGTATACAGCTGGCGGGGAAAAGGGGAGGTGACAAGATCTGTATACACTTTATTAATTGGGAAAATTTTGATAAAACATTGTAAAATTTAAATCGAAAGACATATAAGTACGGACCTTAAACGAATTTATTTGTTGCGGAAAGACAATCTATGATTATATGCATGTAGCTCTGATGTAACAGAATGTTTGTTTGATTTGGAATGTCCCTCTCATTCATGTTTAGAAAAATTAATAAAAAAATGGAAAAAACTATCCAACACAGGTCTAAGCCCTGTATAAGCATACATAATGAAAAGTTTAAAAAAAATGAAAGTTGTCAGTATAAATGTGAAACTTTAATACTGTGAATTTGAGTCAAGTTTCAAGATTTTTTTAATGAAATAAAAGAGAATTAGACCTAACTTGTGTGTGTTTCTCGCTTCTCTTTTCGGTCTTTAAAAGCGGAAAAATTGGCACAGGTTTTCCTTTTGATATATGTCCTATTTTGGTAGTAAGCTTGTTATTTTAAGGTGCTGTTTTTTGTTTCTATCCATTCACTCTTAAAATATAGACGTCGAAATTCGAAAAAAACCTAAACCTTGGAATTCGGGATTATTGTATCTCCCTGCGCCCTCGGTATGGAGATGTATCAGCTCTACATTCTTCAATCGTGAGTTCATTCCATGGTCACACATAGCCTCAATTAATGGCAATGGAGTAGCTGCAGCTCCATGGATGAAGACTTTATGCCCTGAATAATAAAAAAGAAAGTACCTGTAGTATTTTTATTCAAATGATTTTATGGTTTTCAGGATAATTTGCTTGAAATGTGTTCATGACTTTTTTATTTTTTTCAAAAAAAGAAAATTACGCTACGTGTAATGCTTTGTTTGAGGATATCATCAACATCTGAATTCAACAATGCCTAGATGTATTGGAGCTTAGGCGCCGATTATTCATTTTTTGTCAAGGAGGAAATATTTTTTTCTTGGAACTTAAATTAGTTTTTTTGCGACTTCAATCAAAAACAAACTAGTTTTTAATAACATACAGGAACACAAATTTCTCCTAATACAATTGACATGAGGGTTTATGTTAAAGAAACTTATTAAATGATTATTCCCTCTGATCTAAAAGCTTGAGATTAGCAGCAATGTAAACAGTGTCTTTGACTGTCCTATTTTTTGGACAAAATTCGTAATGTAAAGCATGATTTGTTTACTTAATATATATTTTGTATGACCTTATTCATTATGTTGACCTAAGTTTTTTTTTCTAATTTATTTTAAACTTAATCGTATTTCTTCAAACGCAGTATCGGATTGAACGACGCAGAAAATACCGTTGCAAATCTATTCTTATTCCACAAAGAAAAGAAGTTACAAAACAATAAAAAAAAAAAAAAAAAAAAAAAAAACATCGGTGAAGGATCGGCTCCACTTTTTGACCAAAAAGAAGACAATTTAAATATCAATGCCAGAAACTTGATATATTTGCCAGTGCATGGGATACAAAAAAACGGAGTTCATTGGTAAACATCAAATTGCATTCTTAACTGATATTTTTAGAATTTTAATCAGTTACAAAGCAAGTTAAAGAATATTGTATGTTTATAGAATTGTTTTCTTTCAAAATCATCAACATTGTTATTTTTTATAAATTCTGTATTTGTTTTATTCGTTTATTTTTTTTATATTGAATTTTAGAGAGCAGACAACTTAGCGTTGAAAGAACTCGTCCTAAACTCATACGTGTACAATTTAACTTTTTGTCAATACTATACAGATTTAAAATATCTGTTCTATGATTTATTTTAAGGAGCCGAGGCACTGTTGTGTTATTTGAATTTCACCTTTAAATAAAAAGGTAAGAAATTTAATTTAACAGCACAGAGCTAATATTATTAAAATATTGTGTCAATACAGCCTGTCTAGGTTAGCAAAACGAAATTAAATCGATCTCAAAAGGTCAAACAGTGGTCAGTAAAATTATTTTACCTTGACTTTGTGATAGTTTAATTCTTCGTATGGGAACCAATTCGAAGCACATACAAATGGGGGTCTGTGTAAAATTATAAAACTGTGAATTTGAAGATTTAAAAAATATTGTATAATGTATAAATCAGCTGACAATACTTAAGTGAAAGACAATACGGAAACAGGGTTTAGACTTTATACACTCTTGTGAAAATGAAACAAAGGTCCAGAGTGGACAGTAGTATTACCTCAAAATGTTGTCTTTCGGTCTAATTATAATAGAAACGGGTATTGATTAAAAGCGACTTACCAGACTGAATAACTTGAACTGCTTCCTCAGCTGTTTTCTTCTGAGGATATGTATCTGCCAGTGGATGGAATGGTTCGGGAGCATATAGGTAAAAACTTCTCACTCCCATGTGTCCAACTCCCAATTTGTCAAGAATTCGTAAACTCGAATGTATACACCGCAATGAAAATGCCATGATAAAAAACTCATCCAACTTGTTATATATTCTATTCTAGTAAGTTGTTATCGAACTGTAAGGAAAGTTAACTTCAGAATGCATCATCTTCGTCGTTTTAAAGACAAAATTAATAGCCTTCTTGCATGTGATTAATCCATTGATTACATTTATGATCTGCTATGAATTATTTTCTGTTTCCATTTTTCATCTGATTTTTACTGATTAAAATTAATTATAAGCATTACACAGAGATAATATATGAATAGTGATACGATTATTGATAACTTTACACAGGTATTTCAAACATATGTGGTCGATTGACCTAACATATGTGGTCGATTGACCTAACATATAGTCTTATTGTGTATGTTCCCTTGAACAAACAATTTTTAATCTATGACGGGAGTGGACCAAGCATACTGAGTAATAGCAGTATAACATGTTTCTCTGTTTGAATTTACTAGAGTATTGATGGTGGCCGGATACGTCCATTTCACGTTTTCGCCTTTGATTTTTTATTATGCGAAAACGCGAAGACTAAAGAGTGAAAACTCAGTCAAAAACGCGATTTCGCCTTTTCGCTTTTACTCATCAAAGATAGCAGGTTTAGAATTGTGTCCTCAACTGAAACGCGCGTTTCGTCTACATAAGACTCTTTAGTTGCGCACAAATTAAAATAGTGCCAAATCAATACGAAGTTATAGAGTTTTAAAAATCGAATATTCCGAAAAGCTGTGCCAATAAGGTTAACGTAATCTATAACTGGTGGCCAAAAAAAAACCCTTAAGTGTTTCGTATAATTTAACATTTTATATACAGTAAATTTACAGAAAAATTAACATATCAATGAAATTTCTAAAGTTTACGGTAAAAAAAACATAGACTGAAAAACATATATGATGGATAAATTTTTATTCAATAACCGAGGACTTCTGATTACATGTCATATTTTCATTTTTATCAGAAGTTGAAAAGAAAAGTGTATTGGACTAGTGACACACTAGGGGACGCCACAAGCAATGACATCGACCAAGGGCGTGTAAACACTCACCAAAGATACCACAATTCGTAACACCAAAAACACGTTTTGTCTGTATAAGACACATCAACGGCGCTAGAATCAAAGCAGTTTAAAGGGCAAATCAAATAGAAAGTTGAAGGGGAAAAAAAGAACAAAAACAAGTTGGCCATAAATGTCTTGTTGAAAAAAAAAACATAGTGTAACGAATAATTCAACAAAATTGGAATAGAAAATTGTGAGATAATACTATATCATTGATATTTCATGTCAACACTAAAGGGCTGACTCGTGGGCAGGTGACACCCGCAGGGTCGAAACGTTCACCAGCAGTGGCAATTTGGTAATTTATTGATGAAAGAAAGTCAACAGTCTTCATGTGTCTCGAATCATGCCCCCGGGTTCTTCAATATACATGTTCGGTTTCCTTTGCAAATTCTTTCAGATTCATGTAACAATGAAAACAACACTTTATAAATTTCATGCGTCCGTGGCGCTTTTCTCGATTTACCTTCACCAGGAACGCTCAAAGCCGAATATTTGAAAGCCAAGGATGTATAAGAACCGCATTTAATAGGTTGGTTCCCTCCGTAAAATATCCAGTATGCCTTCGGAATATACAAATATTAATAATGTCAAGAATTTCAATAACGGCCGGGTACCAGTCTACGCATTTAATGACGTTGGAGTTTTTTCCGCGAATTTTGGATACTAATCATTAGCCACGTTGTGCAAACGACGCGTTAATTTCGGATGCCTTATTACATGCCCTTACTGCTGTATCGTATGCCTTTGTTACTGTATCGTATTCCCTTGCTACTGTATCGTATGCCCTTATTACTGTATCGTATTCCCTTGCTACTGTTTCGTATTCCCTTAAGACTTATCAGTGGCGCAGATATGAAGGCAAACGTTGCCAAGGCACTTGAAACATTTCTAAGACTACAGCCAATCTGGAATTTCAACCAGTACAGTCTTAGACCAAACAGCAATGTAAAATCTGTCCAACTGTATTGTTCAGAAAGCTTGGGTGTTTTGGTAACTGGAAAAAAAACCATCAAAGATATCAGGCTTATAATTTGTTACGCCGGACGCGCGACCTTGAAAATATAAAGGAATTCCATACTGGCTGCTAATATAATTTAGAAGAACTAACATCATATTAAGACAAGATCGTCAACATGTGCCTCTTTTACAAAAAAAAAATGCCAAGATACAACAGAGATCAAAGAACGAAGGTTTAGATGGTAAGGTCATGTGTTGAGAATGGCACAACATCGCACCTAAAACAGTCATATATTGAACACCGCTAGGGAGACCCTATCTTGCAAAAATAAGTTTGTAGCAGAATTAGATAAACTGGGTAACACTTGGGTTAAGCTCAGAACAGTCATCTGACATGTAAAAGTATTATGAAAAAGATTGATTCTGAAATCTTTAACAGACTGCTGAACTGTGAAACTGATGTAAACAAAATACGGAATGTCCGAAAGACATATATATCCAAACGAATAATCTCTACAGAAATCATTTTTGACATACCAGGTATAATAGGTATGGAAATGGTCTAATTAAAACTGAAGTATGGAAATCAAGTCATGGTCATATGACCGATTCTCATCATCAAGAACATACACAGTTTGAAAATCTAACTGCAAGAGGGGATAAGATTTCGAGGAATCTGCAAATAGGTAACACCAGCAAAGAATTACCTTGCCTCATGTTATGAAATAACATTAACGGGCACCAGATGGATATTTAGACAATGTCTCCTCAGTGGGGAAGGCAGCGAGCCCTCGAGCGAAAATTTCATACGGGAATTTATTGTATTTGACATTTCCGTCTCAGCAATATTTCAACCGAGTGTAAATTCATATTGTTTGATATATTCCCTTAATCATAACATGCAAAGTAAGTGATCACCTTTAATGTTGATAGCAAGAAAATCAGTTCATTAAAACTGCAGTAAAAAAACTTCAATGACCTCCTTTGTGAATCTCATAACTCAACAGATATGAAAGTCGAGTTTGAATTAAATGATTGTTGTTTGCTTAAAGTCTTGTGGCAAATATTTTATTATTATTAGGGGAAAAACTAAAATTGAATTAAAAACTATGTAAGAAAGTAGGACAATCGAGATTCTAACAAGAGTTCTCGTCAGTGGTGGCGTGGTGAAACAAGAAAATATCACTATCACTTATTGCAAAACGACTGTTTGAAGTAGAGTTTTGTACATTTGTTCCTTCTAAGATTATTTTCTTATCTGCTGGACTCATTAAAAACAAACTACGTAATAGACTCTAATATGATGCAGTAGACCAAATTGTCTTCCTGAATAAGAATAGAATTATCTGTCTTTTGAAGAGCCTTATTAAACAATATGTTGAACTCTCACAGTATTTGTACAATGAATGATTGTTCGCATGTCGTAAATTTCAGAATTTTCAAGGTTCAAAGTTAAGTAATTATATGATCAGATGGTCATAAAAGAGAGGCGAAAGATACCAAAGAAACAATCAAACTCATAAGTTAAAAATAAACTAATAACACCATGGCTAAAAAAGAAAACAACAGTACAAAACACATCATAGAAAAACTAATGACTGGCAACACAAACCCCATCAAAACGGAGGGTGATCTCAGGTGCTCCAGACGGGTAAGCAGATCCTGCTCTACATGTGGCACCCGTCGTGTTGCTCATGTTAGTACAAACCCGGTAATAAGTCTAATTCGGTAGGTCACATTCATCTGTGAAACGGATATTGCATAACAGTCAACCAACTCGTGATGGCGTCCGTAAAATTTACGAAGGGATGATTTCAACTTCATCACTTGGACCTCCTGGTTTAACAGCTTCCTTGTGAGCAGCAACCCTCTATCAAGGAAATCATGATAGGAAATACAAGCCATGGAATATCGTATGAACTGGGAGATATATAGTCCGTATGCATGAGCTGCTGGAATGTTGCTACATAGAAATGGAAAGTTCACAATTGGGAAGCTGAAATCATATCTTTTGTCATTGTTCAACCCACCATTTTTTCTTAAATAATCCTGCACCCAAGTCATGAATATGGCAATTGTTCGTTTCTATGTATTTGTTGGTGTTTGTGATTGTTGCAGTTGAGCGTTTCTGTTGTTCCGTTGTTTTTCTCTTATAGTTGATGTGTTTCCCTCGGTTTTGGTTTGTGGCCCGGATTTGTTTTCACTTAATCGATTTATGACTATTGAACAGCAGTGTACTATTGTTGCCTTTATTTGTCGTAAAGTTTTGTTTTCAACCTACCCTCATTGTCAATTTCTAGATTCAAGTCAAGATATAAGGCAGACTTACTGTATCTGTTGTATCCTTTATCTCAAGTTCGATGGGATAGATGCATTCAACATAGTCACCAAATTTTTAATTATTTAATGAGAGAACATCATCTATATAGCGAAAAGTAAAGTTGAAGGATACTGCTAACTTATTTTTTTTTCTTCCTTCCTAAGAAGTTCCTGTATGAAGTCAGCCTCATATGAATAAAGGAACAAGTCGGCCAGAGGGGCACAGTTGGTTACCATGGCAATGCCGACTGTTTGTTGAAAAACATAACAAATATGTTGTCAATAAAGAAATCAAGCATCTTGATGATGTCCGTTTCCAGAAATTTTTTGTTTGAATCAGTGTGATTTTTACAAAGTAGGATTTATCCCTCCATAAGACAAGATACTTGTATCTATGTTGGCCATTCTTTTTTATGAAACAAAGCAGGACCAACTCTTTCAATTTGTCTTTTAGTTTGGAATGAGGATTACTTGTATAAAGTGTAGAAAAGTCATATGTTTTAATACTATTGCAAGATGAAAGAGTCTTAGATTGTTTGTACTCTAAAAGATCTTTGGAATTTTTTAGTATCCATGTCCAATTCACGCCATCTCTAGAATAGGTAGTTTCACAATGTCTTTGAAGCCCGGCTTTGATTGCTGATAAAATTGATGTTAATAATTTAGAAAGAGGTTTCGTGGAGCACTTGGAAGAAAGATCCAGCAATATAAGTTGTTTGTAAGGACACTTATGTAGTTTATGTATCCAATGCAGTGATGGAAGATCCAGTTCTTCATCTTTGGTTGAAATTCCAAAGGAACATAGAACAGACCTATGATTATCCAGGATTTTCTTGTGGTAAGTGTTGTGGGGTATAATGTTGAGTTCCCAAGTGAATTGTCAATACCTAATTCATTTATCAAGCAGTTTAGGTAATGTGATTTACACACAAAAACGATGTTATTTGGGGCTTTATCTGCGGGGACAACAACATACTTGTCATGGAGGTAGGACAAGTGTTTTGCAATATTTTGGTCTTTAAAGATTCATAAACACATCAACTGTCTCACCTTTGTTATTTTTATAGTTTAATGTAAATGTTGAAATTAAAATGGTAATACTTTAACATGCAGACTTTGCAAAACATTCATTAGGCACTTTATAAATATTATTCTAACGCCTGGTATTTCTTAATCATAAGAAATCCAATGGACAAGGTATAATTTACAGTTGTCACTACACATAGGCAGACATATATATATATATATATATATATATATATATATATATATATATATATAGATATATATGTATCATATTTGATTCAAATTAATGCAAACCGTAATATGACATGCTCAAACCATTTTGGACTTGGTGTTTTGGTTACTCTTTCATAAGTGAAAATAAATATCTGGAGTATGTATTCTTGTTTAATTTACAAATCTGGTTGACATGATTATGCATTGATGTTATTACCCTTATCATACAATGTTATCAAGCAATACTTAATTGTTATATCAGTTTAGAATATAATACAATAAATACCTTCTGTAGGAAAATAGTTCCATCCCCTCACAACTTACAAAATAAATAATTGAAATTACAATAAAAATCCTTAAATTTAGTTATGTATTAATTTTTATAAATATGAACTAGATCTGCCTAATGGCTGTACAATACAAACACATTAAACGCTGATCATGTCACTATTTCTATAGCAAGTTTAAGACTTACTTGCGTGTACATAACCATACAACTCATTTTCATACAAGCCTGATTGGTGATCTTGAAAATGGTCACAAGCAACTTCTCTGCAATGTACTGATAATCAAAATTATAACTAAAACAAGAAACATTAATTTCTATTAGGAATGCTCCTTAAAAAAAATCAATGTGAATCTTTGATGACACTTTTTATTTCCCTACTATTCACTTACCGGTAAGTTTTAAATATAAGTGTCTTCTAAGACCCCCAAATGAATCATTTTCTAGAACAGTCCTGAAGGAACATTTCTTAAATTTCATGAAATGACAAAAAAACAGAAGAAAAACATGCAATGAAAGCAGGTTATTATTTCCAAAAACTGCCCCATTATTTTTTTAAATATACTTTCTACAGATACCAACAACATAGACATATTTTTCATATTAAGATGGAGAAAAAGACAGAAAGAAGAAAGAAAGCAGATCATAATATATAAAATAGCCAAATCATTACTATAATGCATTTTATAGGTTACAACCAGAAGATATATTCTCCATAAAGACATGTCAAGGGCCTGCTTTGGCCTATATTAGAAGTATCATAAAATCATGTAAAATTTTGCATTACAACTGCAGATAGGTATTCCCAATATCTAAACTGTACAATCTGTATTAGATCATGAAAATGTCTTTAATTTAATGTTTAAAAAAATGACAAAATTTTTTATAGTTTTGAGATGTATTTGTGTCTTGGAATTATTTAGCGAATGCAAAATTCAAGAATATTCATATGAGCTATGTATTTCCATAAAAAAACTTTAACCTAGTTTTTCTGTGTTGTCATGGCTCCTCAATTATTCATTTTTATTTTTGTACTATCTCAACTTCAAAATAAAAAAAATTAAAAGTACAAATTTCTGTAAAACATTTGGCCAAATAAAACCCATTAATAATGATATAAAATGGTCTATAAACCACTTTATTCATACAGATATTTACCATAAGATAAGCCTTGTTTGATAGCTTAAAATTTAGAAAATGGACTGAACCATCCCTTTTTTTTCCTCATTAAAAAACTGCTTTACTTTAAAGACCAAGCAGTCACCTAGCATGAAAAAAAAATGAATAAAAGGAGATTGTGGATATTGGTCTATGACAGCCACCCAACAATGTAAAATAAATAAAGACATCTAGAGGTCAATTTACAACCTTCAACCAAAGACAAGTATCTTAGAATACACTATGTCAATCTGTAAATCACAGAGTCTAGAAAAGTCATGAATAAATCCACAGAAACAATCTAAAGAATGCAATCAATACCATATTCATATTAAATGACAAAATATATTATAAAGCAACATTATCTCTGCTGGAGTATACAGATATGATTATCACAGTTCAGTACAAAATTTTATTTCAAAAATAATAAACACATTCATGCAATTTTCTCTGGGATTTCCCAGAAAAAAATGTAGAGCAATCAAAAGCGATTCACCTACATTGTAAAGTTTCATGGCTGATGGTAATTTCTCAATATTAAGGTATTTCATAAGAATAAAAATAAACCGAAGTTGCAGAGATTCACATATCTTGAAAGGAAATCGCAACATTTTATGGATTTCCATATCACACTTGCTATGAACTATTCCATTTAAATGGATTGTTGAGAGTGAAAGGGAGTTCCAAAATCTCCCCACAACCAACATACTTTCTTTGGGTAATTTTGCAAACATCAAATAGTCATACAAGCATGATTGACCCACTACCAAATTCAAAATATATAACTTCCCTTCCTACCCTGCCAGATTCATTTAAACAGAATAGCCAAAACTGAATCAAAACATCCCTTCAATCACCCTGTTTCACAGTAAATCACTGAAATTAATTCACAATTTTTCACTTGAATACCTTGTGTGTAATGAAGAACTGTTGTCATGGGATGATCAAAGGAAAAAAACCAATATGACTATATTCAATGGCATCATATGCATAAAACATTCTTCATCTTCATGATGCTTTATGACTTCACTTAAATTAAGATGGCTTTACAATCGTTAATTATGCTACTTATTAGAAAATAATATATGGGTACATGTAGTATCACGTTGTGCAGACTTTTTAAAGATATAAGGTTTCACTGAATGTATGAATACTTCCAATTATAATTATTTCTTTACCTATGACTGTGAATAAAAAGGGGTATATAAATTAATACCGAATATGAAAAACCTTAAATAAATAGCAACAAATCATTCTTTTCAACTTTCAGAAATTTGCTTATTTAAAGATGTCAAGGATCTGAGTTTCCTGCCTTAACAAAGTATATAGTCTAAGCCCTCAAGCTCTTAACATAATACAGAAATGTTAGTAATAAAAGTATTTATCAGATAACACACGATAATAAAATTTCATCAACAAAAACTTTCCGTTAGCTAGTATTTAAATATGGTATAAAATATACATAAGATTCAAACTATCATCTTGTGATTTACAAAATCATTAAAACAAGTCTTAAAATATATATCAGTCAAACTTGATAAAATTGATATAAAAAAATTCAAATCTGCAATTCAAATCAAACAGTAATTTCAAAAAAAGTTATCATATAATAGCACCATTTGATAACTGAAAGGCATATAAGATAAAACATGATCTATTCTACTATATACTGAGCGCATGCAAAGATCACAGTGGACTCATTTCTTCTTGTAAATGACAAGGTATAGAACTAAAAAGATGTTTATTTGTCCTAGGTGAATGCTTCCTTGGTGAGTTCCTACAAGGTGACCCAGGAGATCTAAGTCTTTTAACTGGTTTAATTGGTGATCTAGTCTTCTTAATCACATGTCGAGGTGTCATTCCAGAAGCAGTTCGTAAAACAACCATCTCAGCTAGAGGTGTGGCAAGTGGCATTTTGATTGTAGGCACCTTAGATGGGTTAGATGGTGTCAAATTTTCACTCTCAATCATTCCATCTTTATGTTCTATCTTCTCATTACCAAGAATTCCTGTACAAATGTCATTGGTCTGGAATGACTCACTAGAATGAGAATCTTTATTTTCTTTATCTGACTCGACTTCAGGTTCAAAAACATCAATGTCCATACTTTCATCCTCTACTACTTTTTCTAACAACATTGAAGATTCATTGAGCCTGCTATGATCAGCTGTATAATAGATACTAGGCTTCCTTTTCAGCTTTGCCCCATTAGGTACTGACACAGAGTTAGAAGGGGCAGCAATATCTTCAGTTGGCTTTAACAACAGAGTGGATATGGGTAACTTGGCTTGCCCTTTCCCAGATTTCTGGGTGACTGTGACCACATCCTTCATTTTAGCTGCTTCTTCATCACTCTTGGCAAATATAGTTGGAATCCTTATAGGTGACACACCCCGTTTTCTTGAAGTTGAATTAGGGAATCGGTATGGGGATGTGTGTCTTTCTGCAACATCCCGATGATCACAATCAAATTGTCTGGCAGTAGAAGCCACTCTGCCCCTCTGCTGTGTCTGCAGCTCCATGATACTTTCATGTTTAGGTATCACTGTCTCTGCCTGTTTAATTTTAGGAGCAGGGGGACCCATCACCATAACATCTTCTGACATTGTTGTTTTAGAAGCAAGATAACCTGCTCTGGATAACAGTTTGTGAGTCTCCATAGATATTTGTAAGTTTGGAGTAATGTTTGGTATTGCCTTTTTAGGTTGCTCACACAAACTCTGAGATCTACTAACAAATGCTCTCAATGGCTTCTTTAAATCTTGTTCTGAATTATGTTTAATTGTGTTCTTCATCCCTTCAATGGCTATTTTCTGACTTGAAGGACTAGTGGTGCCTATTGCATCACCAACTTCTGACACATCAAACATTGATCCCTTTCCACTATCTGTTGACAATGTACGTGCTATTGTTTTCTTTTCCAATTTATTGAAAGTGTCTTCCTGCCCAACTAATAAACTATCTGTGCTAGTACTGTTCTGTATTTTTGGTTTAAGACTGATTGAAACCAACTCATCTGATTTAATTTGGGTGTTGACCTCTTCATTGACTGTGTTTGTCACATGCCTGTTACTATCACAGTTTACAGGTTGTTCAGATGTTTTAGAATCCATATGTTTTTTATCAAGCATGCCTGTAGAATCACATGTTGATTCTATGCGAACTGATCCCTCACATTCATTTTTATCCATCTGTTTACTTTCCTCCTTTTCTAAGCATTCTCCATTAGAACGTATATCTTTAGCATTTTGAATCTGTGGCAAGTCCGGAATAAGTAATGCAACTGGTTCTCCAATTTCTGATTTATCAAGTCCAAAACTTCTCCTCAATTTCTTAACATTTTCTTTTTCCCCATGTAACAGACCAGTTTTAACTGAATTAGGTTGACCCCTTCTTAAACGAATTTTCTGTGCGTCTAGTGACATTGAACGTGACAATGAACTATTGTAAGTTGAATCATTAGCATACATAATTGCTGTATCTGACAAACAGTGTCTGGGTTCGTCTCTCCGAATATGTGATGCATCATTTTGAGACATTTCAAGATCTTCATCTATAATAAAACCATCATTAAGTGAGTTACGATCATCACAGACAGACATAATAGATTGTTCTGTAGGTGGAAGTGAAGAGTTTGATTGATTTAGAATAACAGGTAAAGGTGATCCTTGTTCGTTAGGATCATCAGATTCTTCAGATGATGGTGGCGTACATTTTGGACTGGCTAAACGAAGTCCGACCTGATCTTGTTCAGATTGGGGGAACTCAGACTCAACCTGGAAAGAAAAAAAAATACAATTTAATAACATAAGACATATCAGTATAAAGGTTATGAATTTTAAAATAATGAGGAATTATAAGAATATAACTATGTACTACTTTGATCAACATACATGCCTTTAATCCTTTTCTTTAATGTTTTATCGAGTTGAACAGTAAGGGCTGTTCTATAAAAACATATAAGCAGCCATCATAATCAGTGCATGCCATTTATGTTTCTGGAATAACATTCATGTACCATTACATTTTAAGGTTCATCATAACCTTTTGGCTAATATGGTCGTATTTACACCACAAATTTTACTCTGAGTACTGACAAACCTGTGCACCTGGAAAAGTTTAAGGCATGGCAGGAACTAGATGCATTTTATGTATAAGAAAATGATAAACTTTTCTGGATTTTGAGACTCCTTTTTTTCTTCATTCCAACAAAAGGTGCCAAAAAAATAAGTTTTGAAAAATGTTAAGAGATGTTCCCCTATGTAAAGAATTGTAGTGAATTGTATTGATTAACTAAGAAATAGATAGACAACAGATATATGCACAACAATAGTTGATTTAAACCTTGTAAATATGAGGACCATATCAAATGAAACTCAAGGTGTTTGTTTATTTTATCACCTTCTGCAGGCTTAAAAAATAGTAATCGCAAATTCCAGGTAAGTGTTTAATTTTCTAAAACATGAAATGCATTCAAATTTTATGTACCTAGTTCCTGCCATGCCTTAAAACTTTTCCAGGTGCACAGGTTTGTCTGTACTTAAAGAGTAAATTTAGTGCCCATATTTGTTCATAAGGGTTCATGAGTTATTGAACGAAAACAACAAGTGCAATTTTACCACTATATTAAGGACCACAACTCTTGAACAGTAGAAGTGAAAATCGTCAATATTGAACTTAACCTCCATTTTGTCATCAGTAACAAAATATAAAAATTTGAAAACAATCGGAAGGTGTGTTGATAAGTTATTGAACGGAAATAACATAAAGTGCCATTTTCTAATATATCAAGGACCACAACTCCTGACCGGTAAGAGGGAAAATCATCATCATCAAACTTGACCTCCATTTTGTCATAAATATCATCATATTACAATCTGAAAATTATTTGTTGAACAGTTCATAAGTTATTGCATGGAAACTGTTCACAGCCACCCGTCATACTTCGCCAATTTAATAACAGTTTTTTTCCCCCTTTAGAATACCCAGTAAAAAACTCTGACATATTAAAATTTCAAAAGAATTACCATATAATTTTTATAATTTGAATATGAGATATAAAGCTTAATTTCATCCTAATAGAAGTAGAAATAAGCCATAGTCAATAGTTTCAACATGTTGAACACAATACCTTGTCTCCTTTGCCTCCACTAAGTCTCCTAAATATACCTTTACCAGCAGGCTTTCCTTTCTTTAAAGCATTTTGAGCAGATATATTAGAACCAGAAGCATTCCTACAATGTATATTATATAAATATAGAGTTAATGTTGTTAGTAGCCTCACCATGTTGCTTAGTAAACCAATCAGTATCTGATTATACATATATAAGTGTAAATATTGGTAAACACAATAAGCATGAGAGTATGAAGTACATTTTTTAATTTGATAGTAAATAAAAAATATCCAATATCATGAAATTGGACAGAGCCTGAAAAATGCTATACCAAGAATAATTGCCCTTCTATTGTAAGCAGGGCATACAAAATCTCTATAAATACCTCTTTAAATCACACCACCAAAGATTGAATTATTAGTAGCAAATTCTCCTTTCACTATTCTCACATGACCCAAGAAAATCTACCCTAGAGTTTTACATATTTAATATTTTATGTTTGTTACAAAAGTTTTTTTAAAGCAAAATAAGCAATAAGTAAGGAGTGGAAGTGAAATGAAATATATTAGTTATAACAGAGTTCAACCAAACTCCTTTTAAATTAATGGTTGTTATAAGAAGTGACTTCCAGAGTTCATGCATATGTATAGTCATAGAGCACAAATGACTGCAATACTCTACTTGTATCTTTCTTTTTCTACCTATACCAATGAGAACAGGGATTAATTCTTACTTCTTATTCTTTCTCATACTGCCTGGACTAAACAAATTTAATCTCTTTCTTGATCCCTTTCCATTTGTTGAAGGTGTGGCACTGAAAGCTACTTGGGCCCTGTTGCTAAAGGCAATACTAGGAGTATCAAGGCTTCCCTTTTTTATATCTGAAAATAAAATTTAAGTTATACTACATACTCTGCCCTTGTAATTGTGTATTCTACAAAATTATTTAGTTGAAAATTAATTTACCATGCAAGGTCTATAACTGTTTCCAAATCAAACTACTGTAACACAGAAGTAAAGTTTCAAGTTCTGCTTAAATGTTCAATGAATTTAAAAGCACCTCTCTCTTATGAACTCTTGAGGTTTAAAGAGTGTTTCTTAGGTTAATCACAATAAGATTATGATGTTGCAGCCAAATGTCCCAGTTTAATTGAGGTCTGGAGCTAGCATGTCAGTAACTGCTAGTAGTCCTTTGTTAATTTATGTTGATCAGTGTGAATTTTGATTAGTTTTTTCTGTTACCTATTCTAACATCAGACTCAGAATTCTTTTAAACTGAGTTTTACTGTGCTTATTGCTGTGTGTTTGTTTATTCTACATTGGCTAGAGGTATAGGGGAGGGTTGAGATCTCACAAAACATGTTTAACACCGCCACATTTTTGTGCCTGTCCAAAGTCAGGAACCTCTAGCCTTTGTTTATAGTCTTGTATGTTTTTTTTTAAATTTTGGTTCATTTATATGTTTTGGAGTTTAGTGTGACGTCCATTTTCTCTGAACCAGTATACATGTTTTATTTAGGGGCCAGCTAAAGCCCGCCTCGGGGTTCAGGATTTTCTCGCTGTTTTGAGGACCCATGGGTGGCCTTGAGCTGTTTTCTGATCTTTGGTCGAGTTGTCTCTTTGACACATTCCCATTCCATTCTCGATTTTACAGAACTTGGAGACCATAACTATAAACCTAATCAGTAGTGATTTAGGGTGGACAATAAAGAGACCACATGATTTTTAACCACAGTTTATGAGGACACTCTACAATAATACTTAATGTTCATACCCTTGTTGTCCAGGTTTCAGAAAAATAAACTTATAGATACATGTAAATATGTATATTTTTATACTGCAACTTTTTTAATTCTTACTTTTATTAAAAACAAATAATAGCTCTATTGCTTACCCATATTTCTGAGTGCTGTGGCAGGTGTAAATGGTGTATTTCGTAAAGCTGAGCCTTGCGGTAAATTCTGTAAAATGGCTTTTCTACAAATATTCAACAAATGATTTTAGGTTGTACATAGAACAAAACATGTCTTCTTCAACAAGAAAAATTGTTTTGAATTTTGTTGATACTTAAATCCTACAGTGAGTATTTACCTTATAAATAGGTCAACATTTTACATTAGAAATGTTTATTTTTACAAGTCATTCTTGGATACAACATCTGCATTTAAGAGTCTTTAAAACACAGAGCTGTTGATGCAATGCAGTTTGGAAAAAATCAGCAAGTAGAAGTTCATAACATGAAAAAGCATTGTTTATTCAAGAGATAATCTATGTGTAGATGTGTGTTCCTTGTCTTCAAGCACTTGTTTGCTGAAACCCACTTTAATTTGGGGAAAAGAGTTTGTTGGTAATAATCTAGATGAAATATTCGTGGTCTTTATTGTTGTTCTCCCAGGGCATCTGTTAGATAACCAAATGCAATCTTAGGATAACTATTACTGTAACCAGCTGTGTATAGTCCATACCGGTTCATTGTTCCTTTTGTCACAGAAATTCAGGAAAATACATTTTGTCACTTGTTAAAAGCGTTTAGTTAAACTCCAGTAATTTCAAATCTGGTGTGATAGTTTGAGGTATTTTCATAGAAAAATCAGTTTTTCATCATCATTTAGAAGTTGAAAATGCTTGTAACTGATTCTAGAACACTTCAAGTGCGTTTATATTAGCCAAAATAAAAAAAAAAAAAAATGGTAAAGTTGTGTTTGTCATTAACCAGAATTAGGAAAAAGAATGTTTAAATCGGAAACATATATGGTGAGAGTGTGCGGAAAATCTGTACTTTATAGATATTACAAAAGAATATGACTTTGAAAGTAAAACAGTGTCATCCTTTAGTAAAAGACTGTTAATTATATTCATCACATTAATGTTTGAAGGACCCAAAAAACTAGGACAATACAAGACCAAATTCTGTAACTTAAGACTCACACTTAATTAACCAATGGAGTTCCAGTAGCATAGAGAAAAAAAAACTTGTCAAAGTAACCTATCCTATAAATTTGTACACAAAAGACTCATAAATGAAACTGCATCAAAAAAAGTTAAAAGGTATTAAGAATGAATCTTGACCTATATAAGGTGGAAGCAAGATATAGTACTGAAATATGCTACTGCAGTCTATCAATGTAAAGTTGAATATAACAGACATAATATGACACACTCCAAGCAGACAACATATTCAAACAAAGCACTTTTGCACAGATGTATTTTAGTGTATACTGGACTGAAGTAGGAGTAATTTGAATCTACCAACGCCAAATTTGATGGGCTTTGCAATCATTAGCTTCCTTATGTTTTACAATAAATTGAATCGGAGTGTCTAATTAATGTAGGGTTGGACATTTTTGTAAAGGGTCTATTTTTTTTAGGAAATGAAATCAATACCCATTGAAAAGTAATAATTGCCAAATAACTATTTTCTACTGCTTTCACTGTGATTTAGTTTAATACAGATGAGGCTCTTGGAGAATACATGGTAGATGTGAACAGTTTGTTATTGTCAATTTTTCATAACTGGTAAAATTTTGACAGTTTTACGTCTGAATTATTATATGCCCCTTAAAAAAAAGAATCTGTTCAAACACACCTTAGATGTAACATATTCAAGTTCTTACTTTTTAGATGTAGAGAAAGCCACTACATCCCCAGATGCTTTACGTTTCCTCATCACAACTGGTGTAGCTGCTGAAAGATCTACAGGTTGTTGTGGATCCTCATGGACCGCTGTGCTCTTGTTACATTTAGTACTGACATGGCTATAATCACTGATGTTGCTGGCCTGACTTAAGTTACTGACATTGTTAGTTTTACCATCAGTGCTCCGTCTCCACTTAGTTATACTTTGGGCTATGGTACTAACTATACCTGTATTTTCAAAACAAAAACATATGACTTTAATTATTTATCATGTTTATAGAGCACAATATAAAAATAAAATATGATCTTTTACTTAATATTTCTTTTTTTTTCTTTTGCAGAAAAGCATTAGAAATTTGGATGGCTGTTTTTAACCAACCCAAATGAAAAATCAAAGAGGACTTGTTTCTTATTGTATTTAAAATCTCATTAGCTTGTGAACTTTTTAATTTGTGAGGTGTTTTTAAATTAAAAGCAAGAATTTTTTCATGGACTTTTCTTAAAAATGATGAAAGCAAAAATTCCTCTGATTATAGGAAAGGTAGACTCTCATGCAACCTGGCATAAGAAGCTATGATTTTAGCAAGAAGTTGCATGTGTTGTCGTGCTAAGCATACCCAAACTCATAATTCAAAGTATCAGGTAACATGAAGTATATGTGTCTACCATCAAAAAAGAACTCACATTTTACAACTTATATCATGTATATATAGTCATTTTATTTCAGTTATCACCTATTTAAGTGATTTTGGTGTTTCCTTTGATCTTCAAATGCTTATTTCATTGATTTTCCATATTTTGACAAACTTTTCTATAATTTTCCTACATAGAACTAATTATCCCTTTCTTTTGTATATCAATTTCACCAGTGCGCTTGGACAGTAAGTTAGTGCGCTAAAGCTTTTAAAAGTACTCTTGGGAATTTTTCTATAATCAAATATTCATTAACTACTCTTACTATCAGACAAAGGTCAACAATATTAGGTAACCTGATTGGTTTTCTTTAGAGTTATAATGATCTACTTCAAGGTTATGTCCTGATCTACAAATTATTCCAGTTTTTGCATATTTTAAATAAACTGTAAAAACTGACAGGCTAATCAAGCAAAAGACAATTTCTGCATGTACATAGTTGTTTTTTCAATGGAATTCTTGTCTTTTTACCAATAAAAAAGGCAAGCTTGTGGGAAAGATATCAAGAAAATGTTATAAACACTTGTTGAAGTGATTTCATTTTAACTTCTCAAATTACTTGTTTTAGTGATTTTAAAAAGTCTGTGTCTATTTTTGTGAAAATTTTTAATATTTCACAGCCAAAATCACTTGTTTAAGTAGTACCCCTGAGTGATAATGGATCTTTAGAGATATTAAGGAACTATTTACGTAGAAACTAAAAAAAAAGGAAAAGAAAAGGTAAAGAAATTGGATTTAAAATATACAGTTATCACCAAGTCATTGCATTTGTCAGGTTTCATATCCATTCTCCAGAACTATATCCACATGCATGTGGGAACAAAGTCTTAACGTTGTACTTTCAATTTCATGCATTCCATGCCAAAAAATAATTCCCAACCTTTTTTGCATCGAGAAAATGTTTTATTTCCCTTGCCTGTAAAAGATCCACTTCTTTTTCTTTTCTTCTCTTTCTTTTTACAATCTCTTGATTCCTCTAAAGCTTCAGAGCTAGCATCTAACTCATCATCTGTTCCAAATACTTCAGTCATAAGCAAGGTACGTTCATATAAACTGTCTGATATAAAACCAATCTCTTCAGCATTACGAATTAGCACTTCAACAACAGAGGTCTGAAACTGCAGAAGTTTCTCTTCCACAGAGTTCATCTTTTCACTTTTACTATTCAAATAGAGAAAGTTCGGAGCTAACACAACAGATAAGTTTGTAGCATCCATCTTATTTTTGTCAGAGTGTTCTGAAATAAGTTTGAGCAAGCTCATCATATATCGTATTGTACTTATGTGTTCTCCAGGAAGTAAAAGACATAGCAATAACAAAGCCCTGTAAGAATCATCCTTGTTGGGTAGCTGTATACATCGTATGAAAGCATCATGATAGGTGCTAGTAAATAGTGGTTCTGGTAAGCTTTTGAAGAACTGCTTTATAAGGACTGTGACATCTACAATATTAGCACTACCCAAATCTTCTCCCTTTTCTATCTTTTCCTATTGAATGTAACAAAAAATTAATTATTATGTCTGCTATACTGGCCGGGCCCATATGTCATGTATGTATATGTACTTGTACTATCTACAAAAGGTTTAAAAAAGTTAAATGCTCTTTCAGGTTAGCAGTTCCATTTAATATCACTTTTTGACAGTTAAATTTACAGATCTGTACCTTTTTATTGCATGGTCATGTAAAAGTATAATCACACAATTATTTATATTTTTGTCCAAGACAAGATTCAAACTTTCATTTCATAATCAGTATAAAACACACCATATTAACTACCATCTTCCCTAGACAAGGGTTACGTTCCTGCCCTCTTCACCCTTGCCAGATTAAGACAAAATTTGTGAAGACAGTAGTGTATCATTTAGTGAAAGATAGAAGTCACTCCCAATTTGACTACACTGCATCTTTTTGACCAATGAGAGGACTTGTACTATTTTACATTGAGGTGTAAATTATGACTGTGTTCAGTGATTACAAATTTTAAATTTGTAAAGCACAAACTGTGTATATACATTGATGTTCCATTATTAGCATGAGGTACATACCCAAGAACTGCAATCAGATGATTTTAAAGAACTTTAAAAGTGTTACTAACTATTGTCAATGTTTGGGGGGTAAAGGCTTGTGGCACAATCTGAAGTCGCAATTATTTATTTACATTTTCTACATTTACATGTGTTCCTCTTAATGGAGCTTTTTGATTAAACGTAGCCAGTTACAACTGCAACAAATGGAAATCAACACCTTATGGATCGGAAACTCTGACTTAATTCCCCAAGGGTGAATAGGAAGGTGTGGGATCGTAACCATTGGCTAGTGCAGATGATTAACTACATGTAAAAACAGAAACAATTTTCTTCTGAATAATTATGTTATTGAATCATTATTTAAAAAAATAAGTTATACACACTTTCAATTCCTTTATCCTGCTAACAGCTCCAGACTTTCTAAATAAACCCTCTTGGTCAATATTCTTTTTAATTATATCTGCAGCATCTACCAAAAATCTAAAAATAAAATGAAATCTGCAACTTTCAATCATTAACACTACAGATCTATATTATTGTTATGCTGATGTTGAAAAATACTTTTAAGGCCTTTGTAGTGTTTTCAAAGTATGTTCAAAGTGAATGCATTAAAAAGAAACTAATAGAAATTTTGTGGAAACAATGTATACAAACTTTTGAAGTTTTATTCCTCAAACAAACCCAATGAAAAATGGATTTCATTTTATCTAATGTGAAAGTATGTTTTTTTTAATTATAGACTATGAAGTGTATATGAAATTATCTAACTTTCATTGGTGTTTGAATTGAAGGTCCCTAAAATAAATCACAATGTACATTAGTTGTATACCAGTAAGAAAAATCCATCATAAAATGAGTTGATATACCTGTTAACATATTTTGAAGTAGATATATCATGTTTATACTAGACCTTCATATAGATAAGAAGATGTGGTATGAGTGCCAATGAGACAACTCTCCACCCAAGTCACAATGTCTGAATGTGTAAAAATTAAACAATTATAGGTCAAAGTACGGCCGTCAACACGGAGCCTTGGCTCACACCGCACAGCAAGCTATAAAGGACCCCAAAAAGACTAGTGTAAAACAATTCAACGGTCTAATCTATATAAAAAACGAGAAACAAGAAACACTTATGAACCACACCAACCACTGAACAACAGGCTCCCGACTTAGACATGTGCATAAAAATGCAGCGGGTTTAAAAGTTTTAACAGGCGCCAACCTTCACTCTAACAGTGGTGTAACATTACAACATAAAAAGACACACAATAAAATATCAATTGAAATGGCTTAACTCGATCAAAAAGACAATACACAAAAACAAGTAAATATACACTGAACGAATAAGTTTGATCTATGACACAATATAAATAAAAAAGATGTTTCAATGTCAAAAAGACAACTTTAACCTAGGACAAAATGGTGTTAAATAAAGTAACGTACACAGGTAAATATAAATATAATAATTTTGTTGATAGTACAGAAACATTTTTTACAAAATAAATTTATTCATAGTACAGAAGTGAAAATTTTTTTGTCATAACATGTCTGCTATCTTAATATTTTCATTTTGTAATAAACAAAAAGATTGTATTCAAAAATTGTCATAGGTCTATTTTGCAGAGAATCTTTATTTACAAACTTAACTGTTTGCATGGAAGGGCTTCACATATTGCATCTTGGAAAACTTATAAATTTTACTTCCAAGTACAATGTACTTGTGTTGTCTTTAAAGGAAACATGACGATTCTATGTTGACAGATCATAAATGTCACAATGGATGATGTTAGTGTTTATTTTAAAAAATAAAATGAATCCTTACTAATACATGTCATACCCACAGGTTACAAGAGGTTTTTCACTTACCTTGGCACATATCCACAGTTAGGTATGTGGACACATGCAACCTGTGCAAGTAAATTTTCAAATACTCCATTATTTTCAGCATTTTCCTGCAAAAAGATAGATTGACATTTCATTTGCTGCTTATATTTAGTCTTATAACAAAAACTTATTTCTTACATTATCACTATTATCATGATTATATAATTAAACATTTAACTTTTTGTTAAAGTAAGAACATGTACTCTTCCCGTCTTATAGGTTTATAAGATACCAGTATCTTTTAGCCTGGGTCATTTGCATGTCATAGAAATCAAGTTTATTTACAACACATGTACGTTGCAGAGCTGACATTTTGGTATAAGAGAGACATAATAATAATTTCATTTGTCAATAAGAAATTTAGTAGGTCAAGTTTACACCACGGTTTAATGAATAATAGTTACAAATGTACCATGAAGAGGAACACTGAGGGGGATATAAAATTTGTTTAGAGTTAAAGGAAAATATTCAATGAATAGATTCATTTAAGGTAGGGATTTTTTGCATTAAGTTTAAGGCAGGGCTTCCAAAATTTCCTGACGACAGCCGGACATTTTTCAAAGAAATATTTTTGACGGTCAATGATCAGCTGGATACTTAAATGTAACTGAGAGGATGCATAAATTTATATATGTGTCCAAATAATTAGTAGTGTTATATGCAATAAAATTATTTATAACTGTTTTGTTTTCTTCATTCTAAAAATAAATAAAATATTATCCTCGGTATTGTGTCATTTTTCTGTGTATCGTAATACAGTAACCATCATTGCATCAATCAGCTTCAGTACCTGACTGTTCTCATGTTTTTGTTTCTGTTTATATAATCTATCTTCTCTCTGTGAGTACTTAACACTTTGTAAATTAAGGCCATCTTATTTGAAACTGTTGATGTTGGCTTTAATTGCAGTACAACTTGATCATCAATACACGTGATACTTTTCTTTTTGTGTATTGATTACCTGACCACGTGACTTTTACAACTGATGCGGTATTTATAGATAACATTGAGGAGGCCCGATGAAGGATATTGTTTTAAACCGTGTAAAATCTACTGAACAGTGATAACATTTTTCTTTGTACAATTTCCCAACCTGATTTAGAAAATAAGGAATAAATAAAAACATACTCAGTTGATAAATAATTTAATGAATAACAACATGATATTTTATGTAAGCATATAACGACAATAAAATGTCAGAAGAGCACAATGCTGACAAACACACGCAATAAATATTACAATGAGCACATTGAAAAGAAGCACAGATCACAGCACAAGATTAGAGTTCATTTAGTCTAATTAAAGATTTTACATTCATGAGCTTGCTAAATGCATTGTTCTGATAAACATGGCGGTTACGAACGGATTGCCATTTGCGGATAGCAGGAACAGGGTCAAAGTCTTTAACATCTACACCTACTAAGCTTATCCTCATAAGTTGATCTAAAGCGTCAATACCTAGACTACACCTTAGTCGATCATAATTCCCACGGCGGGACTTAACTTTACGTCGGACATCACCTCTTTCTCTATAACATCGGAAATTGTCTGAATAAATTCGGAGCAGGCATTGTTCTCTTGATATAATTTAGAAGTGATCACGGCACCATTTAACTTAGTTAAATCATTTATTGACTGAAATTTGTCCATTGGTTTTTCCTATATATTTTAGTAAATTTTCCCCTTGAGAGTACCCCAGTATTTAACACGATGTACAGTATTAAATAAAATAATATATATCATACTTATTCATTTATAAATATCCTTATTTGAAGAATAACTTTTAAATATCAGGATACTTTTAAAACTGAATGCTCATTTAAAATAATATCTATAAAGCGTAATTAAATAGGATGTTGTTCCATACACGCTTACATGTTTGACCTCGTTTACCGGATTACCTTTATGTACATTGTTATGCATCATTAATTCTATTGATAAAGATAAGCTAAGGACACCTCATCAAAGGTAACAAAACTGTAATCAGTGAATGATTTATGGCTTCAATATAACTTATTGAAGGGATAATTGTTTGACAGCTTGTTGTTATTTAAATAAAAGAAAACGTGTTTTTTCTACTTTTTATTGATGTACACAAGCTAAAGACCAAGCCGTACATTTATGTACCCAGAGGATTAGACTAACTGAGACACTTCAAAGTATCTGAAATATGCTGCTTCTGTTTTATTAAACCCAATTATGACCGAAATATCTTTGTGAAATAGATTGCCACAATTATAAACTAAAATGCCCAAACGGACATGCCCAAAGCCCCAAACGGACATTTTTATCGATCGATAGTTGGTAAAAATTGAAATGACCGTTTCATGAAAATGCCTTGAATAACAAAATGTGGCACACCAATTCTATTTGACCGTTTGAGGCTGAGAGCAGCCGGTCTTTTTATGAAAGTTTCGGTCAAGTCCGGAATATATGACCGTTTTGGAAGCCCTGGTTTAAGGTAACAAAAATTGTCCTAAGAGGAGACGGTCCTGACATTTGTTAGTCACCTATTACATATGGATAGTCAACCTTCCCATGGATAGAAACAAGTGCTTGCGGTTTGGCCCCAGTAATAAACCTCCACCAGGACTTTGGAATTCCCATTTCCCGTTTCCCGGGGAAAGTAAAAAAATCGTCAGGTAAACGAAAATGCAGGTACATGTACCTGTTTCCAGCCGGGTAAGTAAATTGTCTTTACGTGGTACTTTCCGGTGCGTCTTATTCTTGTTTGACCAAGTCGATTATTGGACAAAATCCAGTTTATAAACTGGTTCACTAAAGTAATCACTTGTTTCCTAGCGTTTACAGCGGTAGTTACATGTAGTTATTATCAGTAAACAGTAATGGAGGTCATGAAGCCATGAGTTTGCAAAAATATTTTATCTCCAACGATTCACAAAAGAAACGGAAATTATTAGACTTAAACAGTAATGTAATCAAACCTGATGAAATTGATAAAAAGGACAGAGACAGTCGGTATGACCATGAAAAATGGGTTCGTCAGTTTAAGGGGAAATGGTTGGGCGAATTTAATTGTTCATATATCAAGCTTTTTTTCAGACTTTAAAAAAAAATAAGAACGGGAAAGTGAAAACTGATGCGGGAAAGTAGAATTGTAAGATCACTTTCCCATGGGTAAGTGCATTTTCAAAAAAATTCCGAAGCCCTGTTCCACATTGTGAGGGTTGAATTTTATACATTTCGGTTTTACAGATTAAGAAAATATTGAACTCGGACAGACACAATTTAAAAACATAGCAAAAGGAGGAACATACAGAGCATACATACATCAAACATTATGCAGGTGTAGCGGGATTGTTTTTTTCAGTCTATTTATTCTGATAAATTTGCAGGTAAACTTAATGTTGGCAAACTTTTAAAAATAACTTCATTTATCATGTTTATATAGACCGTGTTCATGTTAGAATGAGAAACGTTTGTCACTTACCATTTATTTTAACTTTGTCGTACATATTTTTGGATGTTATAAAATTGAATTATTAAGTTGACAGTTCCGATTTTTCACTTTGAAGTTCTAAAATGTTTTTATGTCATCCATATTGGCACATATTCCAAATGATGTCTGTTACCACGATTTTCATTATCTAGTTTCGGGTCAAATAAATACAACTTGACTTATTAATTTCATTGGTCAACGGTGGTATAAAAGCGGCTGATTCGAAGTAAAATTGGTCTCTTGGCCAATGACTTCAGTAAGGACTACTTCTCTCTCCTCTCTTAATATAGATCTGAGTTTTTGTCAACCTTTAGAACTGTTGATTAAATATTGTCCGTCATACAAGTAGTCTAAGATGAGCCTAAATAATGATTTAAATTAAAAATGTAGGATTTTATATTAGAAAACTTCAGCCTGTCGCTTTTGTATTCACCGCAGTGTGTTCTTTTAATTTTACTATCAAATTGAATAACTTTTACGTAAATCTATTAATGAGTCATATTCGACCACGTGTTCGCGGTGCACTTGACTTTTCCATTAAGGTGGTGTTCCGATATTCCAACACTAATATTTAGGCCATGCAAAAATGATTGTTCGTTTCCCCTAACACAGCCGGGTCTGTATTTACCCTCCAGGTTAAATCTTTTTTTTGCAGATGAAAAAAGAAGGGTTTCTTTTGACTATCTTTCGATGATGCTTTTCAAAATTGTCTGATAATCTCTTAAGTGTTTCAACATTGCTTAATTATCATATCTTTAGTTTCAATTAGCTTATACCACAATATAGAATGTAAAACAAAAATTTATTGTCAGATTAACAACAACATTCTCTGTATAGCGAAACTGATTGTTCACCAAAAAATAAAATAAAATTAAAAATGGTTCCTGCCTGACGGGCTTCAAAAATTTTCACGTTAGGGTAAACCAACATTCATTTTTCCATGGCCTTAGACAGCTACATTCCTTATTTGTTTAAATTCAATATATACATATAGAAATAAATAAGTTTATTTTTACATACTTTGATCTGTTTGGGGCTCTATTTTTGTTTACAAAATACTGATACATTGAAGTTGGGTTACATTTATTGAAAACTTTTCAGTTTCTTTTGTCTTTTTGATATATATTATTGATTTTGGATCTCGTTTACACTTGTTGATTGTTATATGTTGATTTATGTTATTAGTATATAAAGTATCTGAACTCAAATAAATCTGAGTCTTCTCTGCCATAACACAGTCTCCCAGAGGATCGAATTTGAAACCTGAATTGCTAGTACAAAACATTGTGGTATATATTCATCGTCGAAATTCAGTAAAGGCATCCATCATCTATCGTATTTGGGTTAAAGGATTAGAATATTTACGCTTACACTGGTTGAGGTCAAAGTTCATTGGTGTTTTGTCAGCAATTTACGGTACCTAAATATACACGAGGGGAACGGTGACGCAAAGACACCCGACCCTCCTGTTACACATGCATCACCAGAATAGTTTGTGAAAATGAAGGTATAATGGGTTGTTAACACATCAGAAATGTGAATTAAACAAAATTTGCAATTTATAAAAATAAATAAAGCTTCATTCTCAGTTGAAACATTGCACAATATTTCTTGTTGACTGGCCATAAAACAGCAGGACAACCTGACAATTAAATTGCAAAGTTTTAAATTGTCTGACTCAAGCCGTCAAGTACCAGACGTCAGACGATAACTAAAATTATTTTGAGCCCTGAAATTTATTAAATGCAATAAATAGTGAGGCAGAGGATTATTTTTTTTTCTTTCCTGGTGTTGAATATAATCAATTTTAAGTTCTAACCAGGCCAGGATATAAATTTCCTAAATTCTACTCGTTCCTCCACATCCAAGAAAATCAAAAGGTTGTATAAATCGGACTTTTCACTAGGCTTTTACATGTGTTATTATTCAGCCGAAATTATGCTGATTTAATTAAAGATGTATTACAGAATGATGAATTTAAGCGCATTTTTTACATATAAAATAGCAACCTGTTGAGCGTGTTGTTTTGTGTATTGGGACTGCTTTTTCAACTTTTTCCCCTTTGGAAGTTTTATGCCGAGCTCTCGTAAATCCTGTTTTATTAATGCTCTTAAATTGTCAATGTTCTCTATGCAGTTAATATGCCTCATGGTTTAGATTCATTTGTAAACCAATCATCAGATAAGGGAATACACAGTTAATAAACAGAGCTACATTGTCATTAATCCAGGTCGGCCATTTTTCTCTTTGAATCTGGTTCCCTTTAATCTCATTGGTCAATAATAAATTATTGCATTATCCCCCTTTTTGCGTATTCCGTATTCAAGAAAGGTAACTCAGAGCCCATGTTAGCTTTAGGTTATTTGCAATGATGAGAGGCGAGCTCCAGGTTGATGAAGCTGCATAATGGAATGGTCAAAGAGTTGATAAGAATTTAATATATAAGGAACAAACTGAAAATTTTATTGACCCACGCATAGATTGTATAATTTTAAATTTGGGCTGGAGAACTATTGACTAAAATGGTTGTATTAACACCTCAAAATTATTCTAAGTGTAGGTAAATCTGTGCATTTAGGAAAGTACCAATGTCTGGCAGTACCTAGAGTAGAGACATAAAATATCAAAGTATTTGTGTCTCTAAAAGCCTAAAACTTTCCTGTATTTTGATGTGGATATTTTTAAGACATCACTACTAGTCCAAATAATTATGACATCTTGAAAGGCTATTTTAATTTTTTGCTGTGACCCCTTTCTGGACTATAATATGGCATACATGACAACTCGTAACAAAAGACAAGTCGAACCAAGTGAACTTTGGCCAATTTTAAGACAACTTGGACCACTTTTAAAGACAACTTTTACCACTTTTGAAGACAACACTGACAACTTTAAAAGACAACAACTCAAACCAGTTTGAATGGCAACTCGGACCATTTATATTGGCAATGTCAATGCAGGTAGTTTGAAAGACTACTGGGACCACTTATTATATTTTCACAGCAGTTTTCTAGCTAGAAAAGCAAAGATATGTGTTATTCATTTATTTATTGACTGTATCTATTTATGTGACTGTGTTTTCTAATAAATGTTAGAAATGTTATTTAGCAACTGGACTAGATTCGTAAAAATCATCATCAGAGGTATTTAAAAAAAAAAAATAATTTTAGTTTTTGTTATTTATATTTCAAACACATGATACAATCAGTTAACTCATTGATTGGCAATCAAAAACACACATAAACTTAATTAGTTATTTCAATTTAATTATGAGATGATCAGCCTAATTGATAATTAACACATGTAGTAACAGTAATGTTGTAAAAACAAACAAGCTAATTAAAATGCATCAATGGAACTCAAATCAAAGGAGGTGTCATCATTTTAAGTATGATGAAACCGTTGAAATATATATTCCCAAACCTAATCAAAGGCTATTTTTGGTCATTCTAATGTTCAACTAAGCCAGCAAGTTAAAATGGTCATTGAGGAGAAATGAGAAGGTACCAGAAAAAGAAGACATGTTTAATCTAAGCTATGGTACAGAAATTCTGGGAAAAGTTTTGAGTAACAGAAAGCATGTTTATGACTTTGAATTTAAGAAAGTATCCAACGAAAATGTTATAATAAAATCTTGAATAAAATAAACATCAAGAAGGCTACAGGAGCTGATGGTATTCCAGCAAAAATAGTAAAAAATTGTAAATCTTATATTGCACCACAGCTGACAACTCTTGTAAATTTGTCAATTGAAAATAACTGTTTCCCTGATAAACTTAAAGAAGCTCAAGTGACCCCCCTTCATAAAAAGAGTGACCCATTATTAAAAACAAACTATAGACCAGTTAGTGTCTTACCCATATTTTCTAAAATCTTTGAAAAAATATATGAAATTCAACTAACTGAATACTTTGATAAAATATTTAATCCTTTTTTGTGTGCTTTTAGACGTGGACATGGATGTCAGACCACACTTCTCAGAGTGTTAGAAGATTGGCGTGAAGCTCTTGATAAAAACCAGTACATTGCAGCAGTATTAATGGATCTTTCTAAGGCTTTTGACTGCCTGCCTCACAATATCTTGCTAGATAAATTATCAGCATATGGTGTATCCCCCCATGCATTTGCTCGTTTAAAGTCCTATTTATCTAATCGTAAGCAACAAATTAAAGTCAACAATGTTCTGAGTGGTTGGGCTGACATCCATAAAGGCGTACCACAGGGTTTTATACTAGGGCCATTGTTGTTTAACATATTTATAAATGATATTTTTTTGTTAAAAATGGTAGTTTATATAACTATGCAGATGACAATACTTTGTCTTTCTGTACTCCAGATTTTGATTTATTAATTTCAACTTTGGAATCTGAGTCAAAAATACTTATTGAGTGGTTCCAGGTGAATAAAATGCAAGCAAATCCCGACAAGTTTCAAGTTTTGGCTGTTGGCAAAAAGACCTTTGAACAAAACCCATCTATACATATTCAAAACTGGAACCTTACATGTGAAAAAACAGTAAAATTATTAGGCATTGAAATTGACTATCAGTTAAATTTTGATGTTCATATCAGCTCAATCTGTAGGAGGGCATCACAGCAATTAAATATTTTAAAACGTTTGGGCTCAGTTTTAAATAGACTTAGTAAACTTACTATTTTTCATACCTTTATTCTTAGTAATTTAAATTTTTATACGACCGCAAAAAAATTTTGTGGTCGTATATTGGTATGACGTTGGCGTCTCCGGCGTCGATGTCGTCGTCCGAGGACACATTGGTTTTCGCACTCTAACTTTAGTTTAAGTGAATGGATCTTTTTGAAATTTGACCATAAGGTTAAATACCACAAAAGGAAGGTTGGGATTGATTTTGGGGGTTATGGTACCAACAGTTAAGGAATTAGGGGCCAAAAAGGGGCCAAAAAGGGGCCAAAAATAAGCATTTTCTAGTTTCCAGACAATAACTGTGCAACGGTGTATGGATCTCTCTGAAATTATACTACAAGTTTCCATACCACAAAAGGATGGTTAGGATTTGCTTTGGGGGGTTATGGCTCAAACCGTTTAGGAATTAGGGGCAAAAAAGGGGGAAAAACAAGGTTGTCCTGGTTAATGGACAAATACTTTAGTACAAAACATAATTTAAAGCAGTGTAAGGGAGATAAATCAAATACATCATTGAATTTATCTCCCTTACACTGCTTTTAAATTATGTATAAAGTAATGGTTAATGAACAATAAAGATAATTTAAAACAGTGTAAGGGAGGTAATCCAAATACAATGTTTTGGTTACTTCCCTTACACTGCTTTTAAATTATGTTTAAAGAAATGCATATTTATATAGGAAGACCAGTAAAAATATCTGCAAATGTTGCATCTTTTTTTTTTACAAAAAAATCCATATGAAAGATTTGACACTATATTTTTAATTCTATTATAAAATAGATTAAGTTAGCACTATGGTAAATTTAAATGGGTAATTATGGTTGCCAACTCCATTGGAAATTTGAATTGAGATTATGACCATATCTTGAGGGAAAGAATTTTTTTGGGGAAAAAAGGTGGGGGGGGGGGATAAAAAGAAATTGTGGGGGGTCAATTTTTTCTCATTTCAGATTTCAGAAATTAAAAAGAATTATTCTTCAAATATTATTTTTTTTTCAAATTTCAAATATTGAAAAATATCAAGAAGTAATCTTTAATTGCACAGTATGGCGCATTAAATTTGTAAAATCTTTGATCACATTTATTTATTTGTTATGCCGAATCTAACAGTGTATTTAGATTTTTAATTTTGGGTCCAGTTTTCAAATTGGTCTACATTAAGGTCCAAAGGGTCCAAAATTAAACTTTGTTTGATTTTAGCAAAAATTGATTATATGAGGTTCTTTGATATGCTGAATCTAAACATGTATTTAGATTTTTGATTTTTGGCCCAGTTTTCAAGTTGGTCCAAATTGGGGTCCAAAATTAAACTTTGTTTGATTTCAACAAAAATTGAACATATGGGGTTCTTTGATATGCTGAATCTAACCATGTATTTAGATTTTTTATTTGTGGACCCCGTTATCAAATTGGTTCATATTGAGGTCAAAAGGGTCCAAAATTAAACTTTGTTTGATTTCATCTAAAATTGAATTATTGGGGTTCTTTGATATTCCAAATCTAACCGTGTATTTAGATTTTTAATTTTGGGTCCTGTTTTTTAATTTGGTCTACATTAAGGTCCAAAGGGTCCAAAATCAAACTTTGTTTGATTTCAACAAAAATTCTTTGGGTTCTTTGATATGCTGAATCTAAACATGTGTTTAGATTTTTGATTATGGTCCCAGTTTTCAAGTTTGTCCAAGTTGGGGTCCAAAATTAAACTTTGTTTGATTTTAACAAAAATTGAATTCTTGGGGTTCTTTGATATGCTGAATCTAAACATATGTTTAGATTTTTGATTATGGGCCCAGTTTTCAAGTTGGTCCAAGATAGGGTCCAGTATTTAAACTTTGTTTGATTTCAACAAAAATTGAATATATGGGGTTCTTTGATATGCTGAATCTAAACATTTATTTAGATTTTTGATTATGGGCCCAGTTTTCAAGTTGGTCCAGATTGGGGTCCAAAATTAAACTTTGTTTGATTTCAACAAAAATTGAATATATGAGGTTCTTTGTCTTTGATATGCTGAATCTAACCATGTATTTAGATTTTTTATTTGTGGGCCCCGCTATCAAATTGGTTCATATTGAGGTCAAAAGGGTCCAAAATTAAACTTTGTTTGATTTCATCAAAAATTGAATTATTGGGGTTCTTTGATATTCCAAATCTAACCGTGTATTTAGATTTTTAATTTTAAGTCTCGTTTTTTAAATTGGTCTACATTAAGGTCCAAAGGGTCCAAAATTAAATTAAGTTTGATTTTAGCAAAAAATGAATTCTTTGGGTTCTTTGATATGCTGAATCTAAACATGTGTTAAGATTTTTGATTATGGGCCCAGTTTTCAAGTTTGTCCAAGTTGGGGTCCAAAATTAAACTTTTTTTGATTTCAACAAAAATTGAATATATGGGGTTCTTTGATATGCTGAATCTAAACATGTATTTAGATTTTTGATTATGGGCCCAGTTTTCAAGTTGGTCCAAATTGGGGTCCAAAATTAAACTTTTTTTGATTTCAACAAAAATTGAATATATGAGGTTCTTTGTCTTTGATATGCTGAATCTAACCATGTATTTAGATTTTTTATTTG